GGGGGAAGCATTGCGAGAAGCCACCGGAGGGAGGGGAGGAATTGGGAATGGGGTAGACAATTGATAGAATGAAATGATTTAATTTTACATGTTGTATTCCTGAGAAAATAAAATTTATTTACCAAAAAAAAAAAGAATACTTATGAATATTTCATAATACAAAACCCCAAAAACCCACTTAGATTTGTTATTTGAATATTTATTGTTAAAAGGCATACAGCATTTAGCTTAGGCTATTAGATTAGATCTTCTGGGCATGGAACAGGGGTCATGGGGGGGGGGGAATTTCATAATACAAAAACAAAAAACATGTAAACTTGTTATTTTAATATTTATTGTTAAAAGGCATACAGCATTTAGCTTAGGCTATTAGATTAGATCTTCTGGGCATGGAACAGGGGTCATGGGGGGTGGGGAGAATATTTGTGAATTTCGTGCATTGTGCAGGGGGTTGGACTAGATGACCCTGGAGGTCCCTTCCAACTCTATGATTCTATGAATGTCACATGTGATCTCAGTCTCATTTGCTTAAGCCCTTAGTGCAATGCTCATGTGATAAAACTCTGGCTTCTGTTTATATTGTTAGATTAGTATTACTAAAACCCCATGTCCTGTAAATGTGGAAAATGTAAAATTCTTTTGGTGATGTACCAAAGGGGCCCATGGTCAAGCATGCATGCCTAAGTCCACCCAAATGGCATTTATAGCAGCAGCCTTTTTTGTGTTTGGCTGGGAACGCTGGTTTATCTCAAGAGGGTGAGAAGATCACAGCAACACACTTTACAACAAGGCCGGTACTGCAAGAAGGAGAAATAATCTGTGTTCTCTCAGGAAAGTGATTAAGCTGTCAAAGTGCTGTCATTTCCCATCACACACACACAAAAACCCTTTAAAGTGAAAGAATGGCCTTATTAAAAAGGAACTGAACACGAATAGCATATTTATAGTTGAATTACAAACATTCAAAACAGAGAGGGAAATAAAAAGAGAACTGTGAAACACAACGCAGGTCCCACCTCTACACAGCAGAGCCGCAAAGCAGTTGATTCGCCTGTCTTTCACAACCACTCTCTCTCTCTGCCTGACACAGCAGAAGAAAGAGAACACAGAGCTTTGGTCATCAAAGCCTGGCAGTTCCGCCTAAATAGTGGGCAAAACTCCAAAATCCACAGCCAAGTCATGCTTAAAAAGATATATTTTCAAACTGATTAAACAAACTGATATTATTCAGATTCGTCAAAACACTTGCAGGGAGTACAAAGAACACACCACATTGTTCTCTTGCGTTTGGCTTATACCGTACTTAGCACACTTTTCAGTTGGAGGAGAGGGACTGTCAACTTTAAACAAAATATTTGTCCTGCAACAACCTGCCATGCTTCTGAGAATTTCAATGAAGAACACGTTATGGCTTGGATCTGGCTGAGGAGCATGACTTTCTCATCTGTCTACTCCTGCCAGAGCCCCAAATGCCCCCTGAAATCCCCCAAATGTTCCAGGGTGAATAATGGTCCTTCAAGAACAGCATTTTGAGGGGTATCTGGGACTGCATCAGAAGAGGGAAGGCCAGAACTTTGTGTGCTTTCCTCCCACAGAAATGCTCAACTGGATCCAACATCCTAATAAACTCCGTTAACTGCTCTTCGTCATCACCCTCCCTATATTCTACCTTCAGTGATTATACCAAGCAGGCCACTTTCAAGAGAGGGAGCAACTTGTTCAGTACTGAAGGCAACATGGAACTGCGCAGCCAAGCAGAGGACCATGGCTGAGGCCACCATCATGATTAGTTTTTTGGTAACAGTCTGTACATAACATCACTGATGTGGTTACATTGCCTGGTCCTGCAGTTCTAAATCCCAAATCAGACAAATGCCACCAAAATGCTAAGTGAACACCCTGAACAGAAGAACAATTCAATCATCAGGAAAGGTGAAAGAATGAATTTCGAATTCCCTTGGTAAAAAAAATAAAAATAAAAATCAGATGTTCTTATTCAATGATCTAGTCACAATGGGGCTGCAAAATTACTCTAAGAGGAAAACTGGAATCTTATAAGACTCTTGACAATTATTTTTCCCATCTTCATTTGGAAAACAATGAGCGCATTATTACAGTCAATCAATTTATATGACTGGAGGTCTCAAGCATAATTAGACAAATGGCAAGAATAAATCCAACAAATATAATATACTGAAATTTTAAAAATTAATACAAAACTATTACTATAATATAGATGGTAGAAGACACTTTTAAAAATACAAATAAATAGTAAAACCTTAAATTTAAAATCCAATATTAAAATCTAAAAAGGATTTAAATCCAAAGTTCAGCAACAAAATGAGACCTCTCCATTATAACAAGATTATTTATGTTTCAAGGAAATTATAATTGCCAGATACTTCACTACTGAAATGGTTATTTCAGGAACAGTGTCCATCGATAAAAAAGAAATCACTCATGACTCCAATGGAAGATGATATTTAGAAAGAATTGGATGAATCCAATAGGACCTAAGAGCTGACAACTAAGAACAAAAAAGGTGTGCTACAGTCTGAATTGCACCAGATGCACAAGCACATAGCCTGTCTGAATAGGAAATTTTTGCAAAATGTCCCATTAACTCCGCAGATGGAAAGGCATTTAACCTTGGAAGGGTGAATGCATACCTATGAGGAGTAGTAAGATAGCTTAGACATGCAGGAAGAGTTAGCGAGGGAGGGATCCCTACAGCAAGAGGAGAGCAAACACGCCTGGCTTGTGCAGCTGTACTATCCCATTTAAATGCCTTCGATCTAATCAGTCTCCAAGCCTCATGTTGAGATATACTGTTAAGCATCAAGCAGCGGAGACCAAGCAGTTCCAACTTCTTATATATCAACCTAAGCCAAGTATTCCTATAGTTATCCTCCTTCAGTAGATGTATTAGGCCACCAGACTATGGAGTAAAGAAGAAAACCTTCAGCGTTAGTTTAAAAGCAGCCAGCCATGCTCTTAGTTCGACAGAGTATTGCACTAGCTCCCACCTAAGCACCGTTCCTGCCATGCATCTGGGTGCTCCAAGTACCTGACATATAAATTGGACCAGTATTTTATCTATACGTTCGGAAGCTTCAGTTATCCAGATGGCTGCCCCATATAAAAACTGGGGTATTATTTTTGCATTGAAAGCTCTAATAGCCATCTGTATAAATTGACCACCCACTGAAAAATAGAAACTGAGAAGTATATTGATGTTTGGTCTAGCAATGTCTTGAGCTAGTTTAAGATGTTGTTTCCAAGGCAAACTGTGACTGATAAGTCACTCCCAGGTATTTAAATTGGGTGACTCACAAAAGCTCATACCCTGTCACATATTTTGGTCCCGTTCACATGGAGCATTTGCCGCGCTAAAGATACAGATGATAGGCGGATTTTCTGGGCGCGATCACACCGCAACATCTGGGAAACATAGTGAACATAAGAACATAAGAACATAAGAGACGCCAATGTTGGATCAGGCCAAAGGCCCATCCAGTCCAACACTCTGTGTCACACAGTGGCCAGAAATACCAGTGCCATCAGGAGGTCCAGCAGTGGGGCCAGGACATTAGAAGCCCTCCCACTGTTGACCCCCCCCCCAAGCACCAAGAAGACAGAGCATCACTTGCCCCAGAGCCCCTAGCTATACCTTGTGGCTAACAGCCACTGATGGACCTCTGCTCCATATGCTTATCTAATTCCCTTTTGAAGCCGTCCATGCTTGTAGCACCCACCACTTCCTGTGGCAGTGAATTCCATGTGTTAATCACTCTTTGGGTGAAGAAGTACTTCCTTTTATCCGTTCTAACCCGACCGCTCTGCAGTTTCATGGAGTGCCCACGAGTTCTTGTATTGTGAGAAAGGGAGAAAAGTACCTCTTTCTTTACCTGCTCTTTCCCATGCATAATCTTATAAACCTCGATCATGTCACCCCTCAGTCGTCTTTTCTCCAAGCTAAAGAGCCCTAAGCGCTTTAACCTTTCCTCATAGGGAAAGTGTTCCAACCCTAGCTCCCACCTAGTGCACCCGTGCCTAACCCATGGCTTCTTGCCGAAGATACAATGTACTAGTTTCCTGAAAACGCGGGGCAAGGGTGGGCATCTGATCGCATTTCCGCTGGAATCCCATGGCATCCTGCTCCCGTCCATGTCCTGTCGCAAACCGGATTTTTTTTTTAAGTCTCCACAGGATGCGCACAAACGCCCACCTAGCGATTGCCAGTGTGATCGCACTGCGTCGCTTCTTTGCCGCGCTGCAGGATAGCCGTGTGATCGGCACATAACGGCATACCCACGGGACCTCCATGGGACATGTGATCGGGCTGCCACGCGTTACTTTGCTCCGGGGCAAACAGCCACGCTTCCCCCCCCCCCGCATTTTCCGGCCCGTGTGACCGGGACCTTTGTTAGTCTTTAAGGTACTACAGGACTCCTGCTCTTTTCTACTGCTACAGACAGACTAACACAGCTATCCATCTTGATGTTCTCAAATGTAATAAACTATTTGTGGAGAGTGTGAAGTCTCCTTCTTTAGAAGTCTTGGAACTAAATAAGTTGGTCTCCCTGTGGTACACTTGAGCTACTGATGGCCATCTCAGGGCACGTGACCAGACTAGAGGGCTAGGAGAAGGTTCTTTTTGATTTTA